CTTTGTCTCCTTTCCTCCATCCTCGTCTCTGATTGCTCTCCAAAAGACAATCGTTCGGACCGTCAGCTCTTTCCTTTTGAGGAATTTTGCAGGGTTAAAGCGGTGGCGTGACTTTCGATGTTTAGCCAGGGAAAGTTCGAGGACGATCCCCTCCTTCCCTCCCTCCTTGTCACGCGAACTCGGGAATCCGAGTTGGAACAATGCAATTCCAACGAGCGCCTCGTTTCGTTCTGGGGACAATTTGAGAAAGTTTCACGGATGCAAGCGTTGTTTCTTCCTCGCTTCTTTTCCTTTTCGCTCCTCCTCCGTTTTCTGTTTCGCCTCCCACGGGATGGCGGAAGAACTCTTTGCGAAAGATAAGTTGGCATCGACGGTGGTTAAAGTTCGGAGTTCGGCATTTTGAAAAAATAACAATCCGTCCCGTCGGAAGCGATCCTTGCTTTATCGCAAAATTCGACGAAATTCCAATTTCGATAAAATTCAAAAAAAAGAAAAAAAAAAAAAGAAAACCTATACACTCGATGAACACAATGAATCGCTAATCTCCTTCGTCGCTCCACTTCTTCCTTTGAACCCTCGATAATTCTATATCCCCCCCCTCCACCCCTCCACTTCGATAATTCCTCTCTCGCACCTCCCCTCGCGATCTTTAAAAGCATTTCTCTCGATCTAGGCCAACTCTCTCTCTCTCTCTCTCTAGAAAGAGAGAAAGAAACTCGAGACGAGAAAGAAAGACTCGTCTGAAAAGAAGCGACAAGAGAAATCGTGAAAATAAAAGGGAAGAAAAGGAAAGATTAAATGGCGAACATTGTCGCCAACTTTTGGCCTTCCTTTATACATCCAAGTCTTCGCTCTTCCATTTAGCTAATCCTTCTCTCTCTCTCTCTCTCTCTCTCTTCTGCCTTTTTCCCTCTCGACCGGTTATACATGCACGAGCTCGTAATAATATAGATGACTCCAATGCGATTAGGAACGCAAGCTCGCCGAGAATGGTCCTTCAGAGGTGCTTACCAGGCGTTCACCGTCTCTGTTCCGCTCTTGCCGGCTCGCTTGCAATATTCGAGCCTGCTAGAAGCGTCCTTTCACTCCTCCCCCCTCTCCTCCGCCTCCTTCCCTTCCCTTCCCCCCTCTCGCTCCTCCCTAATCCCCTGCCCCCGCGCACTTGCTTTCCGCGTCATCCGCCGGGCTAAAGGACTCCCGGGCAGAGAGTATCTGCCTACTTAACACAGGCACCGTGCATACATTTTTAATCGGCTCCACGATAATGCCTCGACATCTTCGCGTTCATCGATCCGTGCCGAGATTCGCGGAGAGAAAGAGACAGAGTGAGGGTGATTTAGTGAGAGGGGGAGGGAGAAGGAGAATCCTGCGCTTTGTTTCAGGTGTCTCTTCTCGTTTGTTTGTTTAACCGTTTCGGATGGAGTGGGGCGGAGCGAGTTGGGAAACGAGAGAGGTTAGGATTTGGGTTTTCCGTTTTGCCATTTTGTTGCACGATCGGGGAAGGAGATTCTTCTAGATTGATATTTCTGTTCTGTAATGGTCTTCAATCTTTCAAGAGTGAAATTCGAAAGATTTAGCGCGTGTGGATCTAGAATTGGGATTTAATTTAATTTTCTTCTTTTTCTTTTTTAATAAATTGTGAATGAATGTTTTTAGATGAAATAATTTTTTGGAATAATATGTGGAGACGTTTGTAGAGGAGGAGGAATATTTATGTTTTTTTAAATAAGAGAATTATTTGAAATTATTGACGTTGTATTTAAAGTATTGTGAATTTTGCTTGGTGGCTCTACTCTTCAATTCAATTTTCGTATTCTGTAATTGTCATCGGTTTAAAATCATCGTATTCCCGGGACAATATCAATTCGTTGATTTATATTCGTCCAATTTATGTAAATCAGATTTAATAACGTTCGATGATTAATAATTAGACGTGCAAATAAATTAATAACACAGAATAAGGTGATTAATCAATCGTTTATTGCTATAATATTTTTAATTTTGAATACTTAATGCAATTATTATTTTTAATAAAGATTCTGTATAATATGAAAATTGATTTTGATTTTGTTAAGTTTTTTTCTTTTATTGACATTTCTCATGCTTTCTCGCTTGCTTTCTTTTCTTTTCGTACTATTTTCCTTATCTTTCCTTTTTCTTCTCAATTTTTTTTCCCCTTCTCTACAATTCGTTTCACTTTCAGTCTTTCGTCGTCCATTCCCTTTCCACTCTTTGTGTAAGCTAGACATAGTACACGTTTAATTTCCGCCCTCTCGACTCAACTGCACGATTAAAGATCGCAAAAACGCGCGAAAGAGAGCTGGTAAACGATAATGGCGAGTGTATCTTATAATTCCGCGAGACTGAACGAACTTGAATTTTGTTGGCTGAATTTTACCATCTCTTTCTTTCCTGTTCTTTTAATTCAAACATGTTGTAATTATTAAATTACCATTTAATTCAGAAAGTTTAATTTCTTGTTAAATATTTAATAGTAATACGAATTAAATTAAATCATAATTTTTCCACGTTACAAAATGAATAATATGGTAACATTAATTAATGGAAAATTTTTTAACATCGTACATTTATTACTTTTCTTTTTTTTTTTTTTTCTTAATCATTTCTAATTATATTCAAAAACGTAGGATGCAAATCTGATTCGCGTTGTGTACACGTGTAATTAGTAGTAGCGTAGAATCGTTGGACCTATAGAACTGCAACAGGATAGAATTACGCGGTAAGGGAAAGCTTTCCCCGAGGGGAAAGTCAGTTTTAATACTTTGAAGGGTTTAGCATAACACCGCAAACAGAAGATTAACGCAATATTACTTAACGCGTATAATCGAGTCACTTTCTCATTCGAACTTGCGATACTCGAAGAAGTTCGTCACTTAACGAATACTTAAGTAATTATTATATCATTCGATCACGAACGAGTCTGTTAAAACTTATTATAATCTTACACCGTTCTTTCAAGAAATTTCTCTTCTAATCATCGTAAAAATCTTCAAAATCCATGAAAAATAATCTATCGATAAGAATTTTTTTCAATTAACTCTCAACAACACATTGAATAACATGCGTACGTTACAAAGGTTTCAAGTTCACGCTATTAATCAAAGTTGTTATATCAAAGTTAGAATATACGAGTAAACATAATCACGAATTTCACGAAACGTGCACACAACAATTATTATTATCGTGCGTGTTCTCTCGCGGCACACCTGTACTCGTAGAAGTTAACGTAAACCCGAGACATTTTGTCTCGAGGGCATGGACGTTAAATTTCTTTAATCTGGGGAAGTAACGCGCGAAGAGTTTGCCGCACGCGGACGTGGGATCCTTCGTTTCGCTAAGTTGGTAACAATTAGTAGTTAGTAAGCCCCAAGAGCGAGGTCGTATTCTCTGGCAGCAACGATTATTGCAAGTCTGGAAATGGTACTAACGATGCGTACGCAAACTTTACATTTATCGTTATTGTGCTCCGTCAACCACTCGTGCCAGCTGTTCTACACTTCCGTAGCCACTCCTTTCCTTTTGTTCCTGATACTGCTGGCGTTCTTTTCCTCCTTCCAATTTTTTCTTTTTTCTTCTCTCCGCGGATTTTTCTCTATCTCCTTAGCTTCTTAGCTTTAATGGATCTGTCACGTTTTCTTTGTATCGTGCCTTCTTTTGTTTCCTTTTCTTTCTTTTTTTATTTTACTTCGTTTTTGGTTACTACATGGTTTCTTTTGTTTTTAGCATTCGTAATTCTTTATAGCCAAGGTAATTTTTTCTTGTACTTTTTTCTTAAGTGTCCTTCTCTCTAATCGATTTCGAAATGTAATATCGAACTCAATCGACTTGTGTCTAGAATTCTGATCACTTTATAATTAAGATTATTTTTTTTACTTTTCTAATTACTATCTAATTTATTCTAAAATATATACTATTCATAAATAAATATAATATTATTAAGTTCTAATAATTAAAACTTAATAATAATAATACATATTTAACAACTTGTATACTTATATTATACAATACAAATTCAATAAGTAACGATAAACAATGTATTAAGGATAGAGTTATACGAATGAAAGTCTACAAAAAAGAAAAATCCATTTTCCATTATGGGAAAAACGACGACTCATCACCTCAGCTCGATGGTTATATCTTCTATTGCAAATATTGCTAACGAGAATCGCGGTCGAGTTCGGAGCCGCCTAGCGGCACGATCGGTACTATGATTGTTCAGGTTACAATTAAATAATGCCTCCTTCTATCTTTAGAATTTTAATCTTTATATGAGAATAGTTTTTAAATTTCATACAATTATTCTTGTTAATACATCAAAAAAAAAAATAAATCGTCTTTGTTAAAAATATTAATTCAATTCAAATATATCGTAATGTGTAGAAGCATTTTTAACAACAGTAACATATATTAAATGTTAGAAAATATTATATCCGAATATTACTTCCGATATACGAATTTTTTAGTCTCTTTAAATCTTTATAAATCGATAATAATATGTAGTTTAAATAGGAACAGCGATTCGTTATTAAATATTATTCTTGCACACAAATGGAAAAAATAAATAGGAACATTTTTCGTACAAAGTTCCAGGTAGAATTATCTCTGTAATTATTAATATGTTATTACAAAAATATTTATCATTATACAAATATTGTCTTAACTCATTCATTTTTTCACCATTATAATTCTGATAAAAATTTCTATTTCCGAAATTAAAAATAATAATAATAAGAATATATCTAATAATCCGATTAATTTCTTTTATCAATTTTTATTTATTTTTTTTTTTTTATTATTATTTTACAGGATCTATATTTTCTTCAGGACTTACAACCATGTTCTATGAAGCTTCACCAGCAACGAAAAGGGTAAGTGCTAAAACCAATTTCCCAAATTCTTTTTAAAAGAATCTCTCACAGAGATCGTTCTACCTGGTACATTACCGAGTTAACTCGACAAGCTGGTTATTAACCCTTTCACAGTAGAGTACAAGAGAAACTTAGGCAACCCATCAAATACAGTATTATAATTCTCCTCATCGTATTATAGTTAACATTATATAATATTATAATCTCAGAATATAACTACTTTTAAACTTACCAAACACGAAGAAATTAAAATTAAAAAGAACATTTTCCACATGAAAGAATAATTTAACAAGCTATGATTACAAATTACTTTTTTCATTCAACTTTTTAAAATAAATATACCTTCGTTCCATTGACATTCTGCTATACTCATGAAAGGATTATTAAATTAACAAAAATGTTGCACCAACGTTTCGGTTCTCTCTCTCTCTCTCTCTCTCTCATCATCAACGAATAATTTTCAGTTGGCTGTAATTAAAACCATTCTTAATCCCCTGAAATCGATCTTCAGTCTGAAGTGTGATGAAACTCCGAGGCTGGAGATCTTCAAACACAGAAATCCCGCGGAATATCGAAGTGGGGATGAAAGAAGTCGAGGGAAACGTCAGTTTTTTTGCGGTTTTATCATCCGACTGGCCGGGGGTGGTAATTTGTTGAAGCCCGCGTTGTCGAAGACCGGAAGTAGGTCCCTGACTCTTTGTCCAGCGCCGATGGCTGCCAACTCGAGCCATCTGAAACGATGGCGGGCTTCGTTGAAAAATGAACAGCTTTCTATCCCCGTTCTTCTTACTTTTCGAACGGCAATAGTACAGCTTTTGTGCTTGGTTGTCGCGTGTAAATTGGACCATCGAGGAAATGTGTGGCTCTACTTCGGTCAATGATTAATTAGCGTGTCGTGCATGCTTAAAGAAAAGCTAAGCTTTCTAATAGAAATTATATTTAAAACGAAGCGTTAGGTTAGGTTAGGTTAGGCTGGATATATCCCAAAAGAGGCTCGAACAAATTGTTTAAAAAAAACATTAAGTTTTACAAACTTTATATCTCGTATCTTCATTTAGATCCAAATTGTTCGTTCAAAATTCTTTTTCGTATTCATGCAATCAATGCAAATGCAATCAATATATAGGAATCTAATTTTCTTATTACCTTCTTTCCAATTCTCTTTTGTCGAAACGTTGCAACAACCAAAGCTACTTTCCAATCCACAAATAACAAACGAAAAAAAAAAAAACAAGAGGATTAAAAAGATTATAAAATATATATATATATATCTCAAAGGGTAATTTATTATTCTCGAACAATCGAATCAATCGTCCCAGCGAGCAACGTAATCAACATTAAAATCCTCTCACCAATTAAACCGAGCTTGATGCATGGAAATGGCAGACGTTGATCCGTGAAACGTCAATTATCGACTCTGGTGCGTTCCATCAAAGACGACAATACTTGGAAGCTGGCGTTGTTCCGCGGGTTTACCCGTTTATCGGGCCACGGGATTATTAGCACGGTGGGAAAATAGGCGAGCGTATCGGCCGGAATGGAACACGCGTCGCGTGTTATGGAGATCATAAAAGCCGCGCTCTATTCAATTGTGAACCCTCCCCTCCCTCGTAAATTGGAAACGACGAAAATACCGCGGCCATCGAAACCTGCGCTTGTTTCCACCCCGCGACAAAAGCGTATCGCGCCGGGAAACGGACAAGTCTCCGAGTCTATACTTGGACGTCCCGTGCAAATTTAAACTCTCTTTTCAAACCCGAGTGTTTACACGGGAATAATAATAACGGGGCGCAATTCCACGAACGAAACGACGGGACAAATTTCAAACCATCGAATTTTCCAAGAATTTTTTCAAAACAATCTCCTCCATATTTACCCCTTGTCCAATTTATACAACATCTACAAATTCGTTGAATATAAAAATCGTTAATCGCTAAAAACTGTATTGTATTTCATTAATCCAAAAAAAAAAAAAAGGAAAAGAAAGAAAAATGTCAAATACAATTTGAAAATAGCAGGAAGAAAGAAAGAGAGAGAGAGAGAGAGATATCATTCGCAGGGGGTTAACACGCAACGGGTCAAATAGCCAATTAAAAGCACCGATGCAAAAATAAAAGTTGATCAGGCTGGAGGAGGAATGGGGGATGTAAATCGGCAAACCCGATAAATTGAAATTGATTTCAATAGGGGAGGAGGGAGGGGGGCATATGCAAGCGCGCACATTCGTTTCCCACCTGTTGTTTTTGTATTTGGCCAGGGGTTGAGCAGCCGGATGGGGCGTTTCGGTGGGGAAATATGTGGCCCCATAAAAATCGAGACCGCGGCTGAGCAACGTCGAGGTCTCCTCCACGCTGGCCAGGGTCACCCTTATAACGGGTGGCCCCGTATAAATCGTCGCTGGCTCGTTCTGGTTGTGGGCCTCGCTTTTCAACTTGTCGTTGATCGCTTTCACTAATTCACAAAGCAGACACCGGGTCACCGGGCAAGCGGTTAGGGAGACGAAGAGGGAGGGGAATTAATTCGATTCGGGGATGGCTAACGGGTGGAATTAATGGAACTAATTGCGTTCAAGCTCGCGATTTTCGTGCCGTTGAATGCAGAGGGCTTCATTCTTTTCTCGTATTTTTCTTCTTTCCCCCCCCTTTTTTTTTAATCCTAGGATATCGAATATCGCAATCGTATATATATGCGCTCTCGTTAAAATTCGATTTATCGGGAAAATCTTTTTTACCAGGATCGAATCGAAAATTTTCAATTCGCCCTTTATAAATATTTTTTATTTTTCTCCGCGTTTTCTAACGAAACTTGCGAAAATGATAATTTGTCGATCGACCGTTATTATTGCATTTCCGTGTATTAACGATAAACGTAGGCTACATATATACAACATATATATTCCCTTCGAGCGTAAACATCGAATGTACAAACAAAATAGTATTGTTTCGATGATAAATCAATAAAACGGTAATAATAATCGTTAACACCAACCAATTGGTAAATACGATTGGTGTATTATTGATAATTTATTATCGAACTACCGATGTTTATGTTATACGTATAAATATATGAAACACGAGGCGCGGCCAATTTTTGAACCGTCTGTCTCGCGCAACATCAACCTTTTCGCCAGCTTGAGGAATATACTTACGGACGGTGCCCGTGTTGAGAGGTAGCCGCGTCACTTCGACTATGGACCGGTACTTGTAGAGAGCGTGCCTGATATCCTCTTCTGGCAATTCTTCGGGTACGTCCAGAACGTAGACGGTGAACGTCTTGGCCGGTCTGCAAGGTATGGCCACCTACCCGTTCATGAATACGAAACGTCGTATTTAGTGAAGGGATTCTGAATGTATACCGCTTTCTTTTTTTTTAAAGATAAGTACCTTCTTGTAGAACCGCGCCCCCGTGACTTTGTGGAACCCCTTTTTATAGACCGCCTGAAAATCGTCGATGTTGCTGAACTTGAAGAGTATACCGGTAGCCGTCTTGGTCAGGGAGAACATTCCACTGCGACGTGAAATCACATTTTATATTCCATTTTCAAATCTTTATCCTTTTTTTTTTTTTTTGAAGTTTTCCTTCAAGTTTGTTCAAAGGAGACATTTGTATATACGTTGATGCGTACGTATTCATTTACAACATTCACGCGATCGTGTTTGATCTTCGTGAAAGGCAAATTGTATTTCGAAACACAATTTAATGGATCAGTTAAATTTAATAAATTAGCTAGTTGGTCATCCATTAAAATCGGGAAGGTTGAAGGGAACGAGAATTTCAATTAAATCGTCGTCACACTTGCTTGTCCCATGTTTAGAATTAATGAGAGGCCTCTCTTCTGCCTTGTATCTGTTATGATTTGTGTATCGTTAGAGACAGATTCAGGGGGAACAATGCGTCATTTCGAGGACACCGCGTTACGAAAAAAAAAAAAAAAAAAAAACGAAAATTCATTGCGATTGTGATTCAGTTGTCGCGTTATTCATCCAATAGATTAATTGAAATTTTATTGGAAAAGTGATTTATTAAGTGTATAATTCCTTCAACGTAGTTCAATTAATTCGTTAAAAATAGTAATAATTTTTGTACTACAAAGTTTATTACACGTACAAAATTGAATATTGAAAATAAATAATTTAATTTAATATTATCAAAAATTGCGTAAGATTATTAAACTACGAAAACTTTAATACAAACGATTGAAGAATTTAATAGATTAAAAGACAGTGAATTAAAAAAAAACGTACCTCGAAAATCTTCGATTTAAGAAATTTCGAACTATCAAACGAAACTTGGATTCCTGAGAGTTCAAGAGTTTAATTTAAAAAGTTACGTAAAACTCAAAAAAAATCCTCGATTTAAAAACTTCTGAAAAATAAGTATAAACAAGTATAATTTTGCGTTAAAACGTTTTAACGAAACGAAAATCCAACGAGAAGATTAAACGAATATAAATTAAAACAACAGAAGAATACCCTATCTGTGTAGAATATGATGAAGAATTCTAGAAAAAAAAAAAAAAAAAAAAAGAAAAGAAAAAGAAAAAAATCTTCCTCGTCAATCTTACCGAAAATTCATCTTCTCGCAAATGGTGGCAGCTTTCTCGATGCTGAGCTCGTGGCTGGGCGTCAACAGGAAGGCGCCCTTCGTGAGGAAATCGGTCTCGCTGATCTCGGAATCCGTGTCCTGATCCTGCCAATCGCCCGACGCACGCCGGCTCTCCTGGTTCAATCGTAACAACGAGCTACTTTTCGACGTGGACATGTCGTTTTCGCACGTGGCACTGGCATCCTGACCCCTCTGTGACATCTTTTATAGGAAACGCGATGGTGGGATAGGTTTCAAGATCGAAGGTAACTCGTTACGGGAGATCGACTCCTCGCAAGACACGCACTCGACGCACTGTCGGACAGTTACGCATCGATACGCTCCTTTTATACGTGGCAGAAGATCCACCTAATCGTTTATCTTCCCTGCCCACGATCTGCGTTTCTTCCTCGATTGAGATGAAAAAAAAAGTGAGGTTAAGTTAAGTTGAAGTGGAATCGTTCGATGGTTATAATCGAGAGAGGTTCTTTTTCCCTTCTTTTCCTTCTTTCGAGGAGGGATGAATGAATGCGATGAAAAATTCACAAGATGGTCGAAGCTTCGCTCGAAGAAATTGAATCAACATTGATACGGGATTAGGATAATAAATACGGTGGAGATTAATAGGCAAGTTTGGGACAGAGTTTGAAGAATGGAGAACTGAAATAAACGTAAAAGAGTTGGCGTGTTGCGAGGATTAAGTTGCGAGCCGCTTGTTTATCAAGTTTATATAAGTAATTGAAGTTTGCTTTAGATGAAGGGAGATAGAAGGAGACAGTTTTATTCGCGTTGCGCATACCGCAGCGCCACAACGCGGCATGAACGTGCAACGATATCTGTATGGGAATAACTACGTTGAGCATTTTTATGAAAGAAATGTATTATTTTGAAAAACTTGTTTAAAAGTTTTTTAAAGAGATGTATCCAGATACGAATAGATTGGAATGATTGATATATTGATACTTGTATCGATACTGGAATGAAAAATACTTGCAAATAAAACAAGAAATCAATTCTTCGACGAGACTTGCTTACTTTATATATAATATTGAGTGATCATTTTCTCCTCCTTCCCTCTCACATGTATCTATAAATAACGCATTGTATTTTAATTTAACCCTTTCGTTATGGAGGGTATATGAAGGTGAAAGAAGAAATAAATAAATCTTAAACGTTAAAATGTTAAAAATAGAATTCGTTTTATTGATAATTATATTAATTTTAATTATTACATTGAAGAACGTTTCTTCTTTTGCATTGGAGTAAATTGATAAGAGTAAATTGACGGGATAAAAAGTTCTACTTAATTAAAGAAAAGTGAGATGATATTAAGTTGGATCAAGGTTAATTGGCCCGTTCATACACGTGGGTGATGTTATAATTATTATTAATTATTAAACGTCAATAGAACGGAATGAGAATTAAATAATTCTACACGTGAATATATTTAAATCGAATTATACACGTGTGTATTAAAATGAAATTGAATATTTGTTATTGTAAAACAATGTTATTTTATTAACACTGAATATTTCGAATGCTCGACGCGTGACAGATCATTCAACTACAAAATGCAATATATATATATCCGTTTAAATTAATTTTAAATAAAATTTTTCCACCCATCGTTAATTCAATGACGATGCATTACTTTCATCTATTTCTGGCAAAAATTTTTTCCCAGTTTTTTTAACACACCAGATTGAGAATCTGTGATGTAATGTATAATTAATACCGATCGATTTCCAAATGCAAAAATTTAAAAATGAATTCTCACGAAAGAAGATATGAATTCAAATGAAAATTTCATTCGTCTTTTAATTTTAGAATAAATTATTCGCGAATCTTCATATTTTTTTGCTAAAATGAAGCAAAGTGTGCGACAAAAAAATTAATGTAATTTGAACGAAACCTTCTGTTCTTTTTTTTTTTAAATATAATAATGGAATTTAAGATTTTCCGCATTAAAAAAAATTCAAGAAAAGTTTCGAAATATTCCAAATATCCGAAAACCGTTATTATTCCCAGTTGTCAACGCTTCAAACCAGAGGAATTATCTCTGGTTTCAGAAATCAGAAAATTATTTTGAGCCTCGAGTAATTGAACTTTCCGAACTATTGATACCGAATGTTATACCGTACTCGAACTTTTCTCAACTTCCGAATACTCAACTTATCAAACTCTCTCGAACTCGCCCAACTTTATAACGAACTTTGGCAAAACTTGGACCGCTTGTAACCAGCATGGAGATCACTTCAATGCTCAAAGACAGAAATTAACAGAAATGCTTCGCTACTTCGAGGTACTCGAGGTTGCTCCACTCGCTTAACTAACTTTATGCAACACGAATACCGCGTAATTTTTTTTTTCTTTTTTTTTTTTTTTGTACCTTTAAATATACGCCTCATACGAAC